GTGTGTGTGTGTGTGTGTACTGTCTTTGCTACTTTGTGTTTGTTTGTCTCTGAGAGTAAATCATGTTGTATTTTTCCGACTTTTAAGTGTTTTTTTAATACTTATGATCAAAACAAAATATATAATATTTATTATTAAATCAATATTTGTTGCTATTTATCTGTGAGTTTTCTGTTGTTGTTCTTCTGTCGATGTAATATTTTCATACTTGAAATGTCTTTTCTGTCTGCAATATCGTGCCATGGCCTACATTTGAAGGGCTTAGTAGAGAGGCCAAGACGGATTTTTTAAAACACTTTGAAAACCCAGAGTTGATCCTAGAACTAAAATTTGGAGATAAAATGAAATCTTCGTTTCCCCTCGAGGTCTCCCTTCACTGTTAAATCCTTATTTGATACGTACAAAAATCCTAGGTTTTCAGTGACACAGCTAAGCATATTGTTTGTCTGAAATGACACTCAGCCCGCTCCCCCCCCCCCAACCCCCTCCCTGCACCAAAATCCCCTGCAAACTTATCCCTCAAGTAAAGATTTTGCTCCCGCAATCCAAATCCAAATTGCATATGTTTTGGCAAGAGACGGGGTATATAAAAGTGTTCCTCCTTTTTTATGTGGCTGTAACATATTAAAGAAGGATATATATCCTCATTTTCTTGCAGAGATCGTCTTGCCATCCTTGCTCCCGTACATCATAACAACCCCTGGGCCGACAACGACACCCGAAGAGAGTGAGAACAGCTTTGGTGTAGACTGTCTAGTTTCTGTTGATCGTCTCTTTTCCATTTGATTTTTTAATTTATTTTTTTTTGGTAGCTTTTGTCGTTCTTTCTGCTTTCCAATTTTAATTAAAAAGAAAAACATAGTAATACTGTCCAGCCGGTTAGCAGCATGAGTCATGAATATTCGCTCAAAAATTTTATTTTAATGCTTCATTCCTGCTTTTTGTGGTGTATTTTTGGTTGGAAAATTGTGTTTGAGTATTTGGATGGAGTTAGCTTTTTGTGTTTAATGCTTTCTGTTAACTCTCTGCTTGCTGCTTAGTTCCTTTCTACCTCTCCCAAAGTTTGATAGCTTGATATCAATAATATTACATTACCACATTCAATGATTCTTTGTGGAATATGGTTTTGCTTAACCTTACAATAACTTCATATAAATCTCCATGGTTCCAGCAATAACAGCATCAACAACGACAACTACCACAACAACAACAGCTACAACAAAAACTACAACAACAACTCCCCGACCGCCGGGAGATTGTGTTTTGGAGGAACTCGACCACCACGCCAAGATGGCGTACAACCTGACATTCCTGTACCTCAGGGACAAGATGGTGGTCACCCCAAGCCTAGCAATGACTGTGTACGGCAAGCCAAATCTAACAGTCGCCAACACTGGCGTGGCAAAGCTGAGTCTTCTTCATGAGCAAGACGCTTTAGAGCTGGAATGTGTCCCTTGTGTGTCCAACCTCCTCAAATGCGATACCGGCTTCACTATCCAGATCCAAGTGGAGTTCGATGACAAAGCTTTCGTCCCATTGTCTCAAAAATACTCGCCACAAGAGCAGGAGACGGCTGAAGTTATGTTGCAAATGAATTATAAGAACAACTCAGAACTATTTTCTAATATAAAAGCAAGTATAGAAGCGGAGGGTGGAGAAACTGAAACTGAATTCAGCTCCTTTGATGCGAACCAGAGAATGGGTGAAGGTATAGAAGATGTCTTGACGGCACAAGCAAGGACAAGGCGCGACGCAATGACAGTCACTGGGCGTATCTATGTTCTGGATAGCATTGAAGACCAACAACGAGACATGGGCCTCCAGATCTTTTACGAGGACGGAAAGTTCCACGGTATTTTGCAAGCAAAGAAAAAGAAATGGATAATGAGCGTTCCATACGAGATAGAAGAAGGAGCCACGTACACGCTTCAGCTGTCTTGGCACCCGGACGGCAGTCTTGATCTCTATGTCAATGGGCATACAGTGGGACAAGCCAGGATGATCAGTCTACCGTTTTTCTTCTACGGAGAACCAAGACCCCTTCTCCTGGGAAAAAGCAGGACTGCTGGACCAACAGCTAGAGTGACCTTGTCCAACTTGTTTGTCTGGATGTCTGTCCGAGAGGTCCTCCAAAACAATGGACTCGTCGGAGGTAGTCTGCCGAGAGAACCTTTCTTTGAGTAGTTCGCTTGTTACTTCTCACATCATTTATCACTTGTATTTGGTCTTGTCACATTATATTGATTCTGATCATTTCATAGTTTCTCGTAGAAAGACGCAGAGTAGTATAATTTGAATTTTCGTAGAAATAGTGCGTGACCACTTTCCCTTTTTTACTATGTTCGCTTGTTCTTGATTTATTCTGATTCTCTGTTTCTTGTTTACTAACTGCAGTCCTCATAAACTGTTCTCTTACGTCGAGCCCATACCTTTTTTTAAATTCCAGTAGTGTTTTATTTCTCATTTCCATCTATCATCTGAATGACACAGGAAAAATTACGATGCAGTGTATTTTGCACCTAATGCCTCAAGAACATGATTTATCAAACTGGGAATTGTACAAATATATCTCCCTTCTGTTGCGTTAAAGCAATGAACAAATTCTCGATGAGAAGTATATTTTATTTTACTATAGAAATAATGATTTGGAGTTGCATTAGCAACCAATTGTCAGAACTAAAGCAGAAAGATGAGAAAACCTAAAAGTTCAACACACAATTAAAGGAGACATCCAATAGGAGAGAGTAAGAACGGCGCCTGTCCTGCTTATAACAAACATGATAATAATATCCTGATGCGCACTTTGATTTTTATGCCCACGCACCTCCGTCCCCTTTCTTTATTCGCTTTTTTTAAGTTGAAGTTATGTGTAGTTTTATTTGATGTAAGTAATAACAGCTGAATTATTTTTTTTTAAACCAGCAAACAAACAAAAAGCGTAGTTTTGCACTTTTACTGAGTTCACCAGTTTCACTGTCAAATACAATCGAATAAAATCTAGCAGGCTACACCCAGAGTAGAAATTCGTTTTGTTTGGGCCCTTTCAACTGATTCTTCTTGATAATTGTTACAAATTGCTGATCTCAAAAATGGTTAAAACAAAATTCATACATTAAGGATCAGATACCACAGACATCATCCATCATGTTTATCGGCTGGTAGCTTACATATAAGTTTATATCATAAAAAGAAAACTAAAAACGCTTCCAACAGATTATGTAAGATTATTAAGATGGAACATAAAACCTGCCAAATGATTAGCAGCTTCTTGTTGTTCGAGGAGGCGTTTGTGCTGTTTTATGGGCGTACCTGGTACTCATTTTCCCTTTAACTATTCCTCATTTCACTCTTCAAACTTTTTAAACTTATTATTCTCTTGTTACCGTATTTTGTTCTAGATAGCATACATTGAATGTATTTTCTACGCCTCAAAATCACAGTTATTGTTATTAAGATAAATTGATTAGGTATTTCAACAACAAAATCGCTTCCTAGCAGAGGACTTGTAATGTTTAAACTCGTCTTCCTTGATGAAATGTTACCTGTCATTTAAATGCAATCCCTGTTCTTGAGCCAAAAAAAAAAGTTATTTGATTAACATTGGTAAAAAAAGGGTACTTGTTACTCAAAATAAGAGAACAAATTGCAAGGCCCAATTTGTGTATCATTTTTAGAGACTATCAAACTTTGTGCTTACTCTATTTAAGAAATCTCGTTCCAGAGGACATTCCTAAGTTGTTATTGTTGTTGTTGTTGTTGTTGTTGTTGTTTTTGTTGTTATTGTTGTTGTTTTGTGTGTGTGTTAGATATTTATAGTGTCACTTTATCAGAAAGGTTAAGTCATCACACTGTCCACCTGAAGGAATATAAAACCGATTTATCTGTCTGTCCGAGGAATTTTACTCTTTATTTATCATTTATCTAGAGATGTGATGCTTCAACGGCAAAAGGACTGATTTTCTTAATCTTCAGAACTTCTGTACTTTGCTTACAATGTTCCGCATGTACATTATTTGTAGAAGAAGAACCATAATACCATGACATTGGCTGAAATTTACTCATTCTAACAGGAGGCGTATGTTACGTCAAAAGAATGTTTTAACTAATATTATGTGTTGTCCCAAGCACAGCTATTCTCTTTTTCACATCGTAGGACTATAATATGTTGATAAGTAATGGCGCAAAATCGCCGATTGAAAACAACGGAGCTATGTTCAATCCCTAGAATTGTCCACCACGCCCACCGCTCTTCCTGCGACCACCCCTAAACACGTCACAAGAGCCCCAATAAACGTCACGGACTACGTATGGACGCTGTCCAAGGTCACTCAAACCACTGTTGTGTCGAACAAGCAAGAACTTGTGGTAGTCGGCGGCCCAAACCATGTGGTCAACGGCTTGATACTAGAGAAAGCCGACCAATTCTTGGAGGTAAATGTCATGTTGAGAAGTGTCTGAACTTTTCAGTTTAATGGTTGCTTTGAATGAGCATTTTTTTAAAACCTTAGTTTTATAGTTTGTATATAAGAGACGTAAGGATTTTCGAGGACGCAAATCAAATCATGTATTTGGAGTATAACAGTCATATAGGGAAAATACTCTACCTTTTCTAGTGAAGATGGAGTGAGGGTAATTTTACAGTGGTCAACATTACTTTCACGAAACACAATAGATTCAATCATTGTAAAGATGATTTTGTTCAAAGTAAAAAGATAGGACTTAATATTACTCTATAAACCCTTGAACGTAAAAGACTGTTGTACATGGAGCGTACTGTTTAAATACTTGTGTCCTAATGTCTCCCTTCAGACCTCTTTTCACCTTTATCTCTGCATAAATCAAGGTCAAGAGGCAAAAACTTCAAAACCTCTCACCTGAAATTAATCTTTTTATTGTTAGATTCCCCACTTAAAAGACACCTGTATCACCAACCCCGCTAAGTGCAACGAGGGTCTCACCATAGAGATTGACGTAAAACTGCTTGAGTTAGCTGAGGAGACCATCATCTTCACCAGCGGCGGAGAGCGGCCAGACGAACCTGGAGTTACCCTTCTATACAGGTGCGAGATTCCTGGGTGCTCAGAGGTTCTTTACTACAATATTACAAAACATCCATGTTGTTTTGAAGACATAACCGCTGGTCTGACGTCAGAGCACCTGGCCGAGCCAAAATATTCTCTGAAGGGCAAGGAAAATAATGTTAACTCCATTTGTGTTTGAATTTTGAAGGTCAAAGGGGAAATGGGTTCCTTGCCTTTTTAAATGTGTATTATATTGCATCAGTAAATAAGCTATCTCTTTACGATAGTACAGAGCTTTCCTGACAATGCTTTATACTTTTTTTAAAGGTTTCAAGTGTCGTCACTGAGATTTTTTTTTCAAGTGCATCATATGGGAAAATCTATTGATATTGTTAAAAGGTTGAGAAAGTAAAAAAAAAGGGAGAAACAGTCGCCAAGTACTTATGAAACATCGTCGTTATTTTTTAAAATTAATTTCTTGGTGAATGCTTCTACGTTATGACGTACTCATCTCTTTTAGAATATTAACATATTTTTTACTTTAGGTTCGTCGACGCCTTTTAAGTGTAAGAGAAGTACAAAAATGCTATTCAATGTAGCAATGCTCTGTTATAGAATTTTCGAAATAATCATATGAGAAAACAGAACTAAGGAAAGAAAGTATTTATAAGTTACAGGGCGATCAAAAACACATTTGAATAACTCCTTGAAATAGTTATATGTAAATACCTTATTAGGACCACCTTGATATGTTTATAATACCTGTAGGTATGGATACATCCATGTGATAGTGAGTACAGGCAGCCAGTCCTGGTACGTATCTGTTTCCCGCCAAAAGATCTGGACCAATCAGTTCTGCAAGATCCTTGTGTCCTGGAGCGTTAAGACGAGACTGCAGATTTTTGTGAACAATGTAAGACATGATATCAGTTTTCACTGCAATCGGTTCTTTTTGTGAGCTTCAGCTTTCTCTCTCCCTCCCTCTCTCTCTCTCTCTCTCTCTCTCTCTCTCTCTCTCTCTCTCTCTCTCTCTCTCTCTCTCTCTCTCTCTCTCTCTCTCTCTCTCTCTCTCCCTCTCTCAATCTCTTTCTCAATCTCTCTCTCTCTTATACACACACACACACACATATATATATATATATATATGTATATATATATATATATATATATATATATATATATATATATATATATCCCTTCCTCCTTATCAATCTATCTATCTATCTATCTATCTATCTATCTATCTATCTATCTATCTATCTATCTATCTATCTATCTATCTATCTATCTATCTATCTATTTATCTATCCATCTATCTATCTATCTATCTATCTATCTATTCATCTTTCTATCTATTTATCTATCTATCTATCTATCTATCTATCTATCTATCTATCTATCTATCTATCTATCTATCTATCTATCTATCTATCTATCCTTCTATCTATATACCTAATGTAGTGTGTAAATAAGTATGAGTGTGCAATGGTATGTACGTGTCGTTATTATAACAATTAATCTTGGGGGTGCCAGATATATGGTATTTAATTAAGACGATAAGAAATGTTTAGAACATAAAAAACGTTAAAATTTTAAATAAATGAAAGGCTTTTTGTAAATACGTGTAGTTTCCCCAAACTTCATCTCGCTAGGCCTACAGAACATTAAGAGCTGTTCTTGCTATCCTCCTATGTTTGCTTCTAACCATGATGTGACTAACAAAAACAAAACGAAAAAAAACCCAAAAAACCCCCAACTCAAAATCACGATACAACTACGGAAAATAGTGAAGTCTTTGAAAGGTTATGTACTATGACTTTAAATAATTGTTTCACCTCAGGTGTTAGTAGGCGTGTCTGAGAGTCCAGTGCCCCACAAGGAAATCACGACCTCGATACAAGACAGTCTGATAATAGGAGGCGGAAACACAAGATGCGTCATCAAAGAGGTGCACATCTGGTTGGTGCACGTGGAAATCCTTGTGGAAACGAATATAATTATTGTTCAAGGTACAACTTGAAACTGGGTTTGTTTGATTTGGGGGGGCTCTTATTATACTGACGTGACCTTTCTTGTTTGTGGGTTGTTTTTTGTTGTTGTTTTTTTGTTGTTGTTTTTTTGTTCTGTCTGGTCTATCTAAGGTCAGTTCTTTTCCGAACATGGTCGTGGGTCAATGGGTGTTCTTCCATTGTTTTAAAACTACCAGTAAAAAATTGTAATCGGAAATACCATCTTCTACATAAGTTCATCGAAGGAGATATAATTACATTGAGGGCATGACATCGAAGGCGAAAATGAGAGGAAAATGGTAAGGGACAGGGACAAAGACAGGGACACTGGACACACACACACAGACAAAAAGACGGGTAAACAGACAGACAGACACACACACAGAGACACACAGACACTCAGACAAACGCACAGACAGACAGACAGACAGAAGAGCATTACATTTACAAGGGTTAAAGTCTTTCATATACTGGTTTAGCTACCACTCCCACGCCTCCATGTTTGCTTCCTATTTACTCGTTACTGACCCCAGACGTGTATTATGAGCTATTTCTGAATGGACAATGTTCAATATCTACCTGTGAAAAAAGTAGCTGTTAGTTTGTTTAGCTTCCGTATGTTGTGGGATGTTGACTGCTTCAGAACGCCGGTGTCTGTAGTGCAGCGGTTATATAGGCTCTTCGACTTTGCACACAGGTGACCGGATAATAGTTCCCGGGTGGCGAGATAATTGCTATGGGGGTATCCCGGTCTTTCTGCTTGGATGTTGTATCCCCCTCAACCCATGTTGGATCTGACAGGCAGGGTCAGCAGCCCGCCTCTTACATAAATTATCTCAATTATATCTATGGGGGCATTGTGACCTTCACGGCTTTTTGAAAATGGTTTCTCTTAGATTTCTCTAAATATCAAAATTAGAGAAGACACAAACTAATTTTTTAATAGATACAATTTGCCCACCCTCTTCTAACTCTCCGTCAGGTATTTTAATAAATTCCGTATTCTCTCCAGTCTGTTATCAGACTCGGAAGTAATATTTTTTTGTTTTGTTTGTACTCTACCCGTACATTTTTATTATCCCACTGGGGTTAAATCACAGAGATTTGGGAAAACCTACGCAGAATTTCTGGAGTGAATGATGGGATTTAGAGCCTAAACCCTTTTTAAGCTGTTCAATAATTCAAAGTGCCCTGTTGCCCAGTGTTGCGATCAAAGCCCTTTATATATGACTATTCTTTGAAGGTGCCAGTAAATCTTCAACTTGAAATGTTTTGTCTAACGTTTTTATGTAAGTGAGAATCCACTTTTTAATTTTTTCGAAGTCCCTTTTTCAAGCGTTATATGTTGGCTTTACCTGTCCTCAAACATGTATCTATGTACTCACATTTTAAAAAGATTAATCTATACATCTATAGGACTTTGCGAACTTTTGCTGTATGTCTTCACGTGTAGCATTCTCTTTTAAAACGTTTGGTCCTCACCACAGACTGCACTTTACTTACACCATTCACAGGTACACCAGGAACCCCTGCCCCCACAACAGCAGCCTCACAAACCCCTGCACCTACAACTGCAGCCCCCCAAACCCCTGCACCTACCACCACAGCCCCAGTTCCTTCTGTCTTTACCAGCAGTAAGCCAGTTCCGACCTCAGATTTCCCACAATGTCCTGTGGGCTGTGTCCCTGCAGGTGAGCCCAACATTAAAAATAACAAACGCATGTATAGATTACTATTTACTGTTGTTACATTTTCTGTTCACTCATAGCCTAAGTGTCGAAGTCATTATTGATTATGTTCAAAACGAATATAAAGTCTGATTAAATTCTGATAGCACTCGCAAAGTAATAATTTTAAATTCAGGGTATTTTTTTGTTCAGTGGAAAGTGGAAATTATCTTTGTTGATGACTTTTTGGGTGAAGAAGCCGAAAGTGTAGAGATAAAAGTATGAAGAAAATGTGCACGTTTTAGAACTTTTGGTTTGAATTCTGAGGGGATGAGCAGCTCAGCTGGTTGAAGTATAATTAATTGATTCACAGTTAACATACAACCGACTGTTTAGAGGTCTGGTTTGCTGGTGGCGTACATTCTTAATTGGTTGGTAGCTCACCTGAAGATTCTAGCGTTTGAGCGCATTCGTCAAAATGTTCCCTGAAAGCAACATATTATGTTCATATCTGAAAAGAAAACAAAAGTAGCACTTCAGACTGACAGGTAATGAGTTTAGAAATCCGATTTGATCATGTTTACATCTTGTTTGGGTTTGTTTGTTTGTTTGTTTGTTTTTTGTATTGTTGTTGGGTTTTTTAATTTTAGTCGCCTCAATATTAGTTGGACACAATTAGTCTGTACTTTTTTCCATTACTCTAGGTCCCAGCACAGCAGTTCCAAGCTCCCCACAGCCCACCACAGGTGCCCCAGCGCCCACCACACCAGCGCCCACGCAAGGACAAACTTCCCCACCACACCTGCCCACCACAAATGCCCCAGCTCCCGTTCCATCCAAACCAGCGCCCACCACACCCAAACCAGCGCCCACCACAGATGCCCCAGCGCCCACCACACCCAAACCAGCGCCCACCACACCCAAACCAGCGCCCACCACACCCAAACCAGCGCCCACCACAGATGCCCCAGCGCCCACCACACCCAAACCAGCGCCCACCACACCCAAACCAGCGCCCACCACAGATGCCCCAGCGCCCACCACACCCAAACCAGCGCCCACCACAGCCAGCACCCACCACGCCCAAACCAGCGCCCACCACACCCAAACCAGCACCCACCACGCCCAAACCAGCGCCTACTACAGCCACTCCGGGGCCCACTACAACCACCCCTAAGCCCACTACAACCACCCCTAAGCCCACTACTACCACTACCACCCCAGCTCCCACCACCACCACCCCCCTGAAGTGCCCTGATCTGCCTCCCTCGCTGTCACTTACCATTGAGGCAGACGTCAACGGGAATGCTGAACTTATCTGTGCCATGCCTTCTGCGCCTGTGAATAACATCCAGGTGAGGAAGAAAAAAAAGCTTACTCAGTAATCGTATGCTAATCATAGTCAGATGCACCCCAGTTAATAAGAGGTCTTCTTCTTTTGTCCCATTTTCACGTCTACACATTTTAATTAAGAATGTATTTTTACCGAATTATGTTGAACTGTGCTCGCGTGCGCACACGTTTGTGTATGTGTGTGTGTGTGGGGGGGGGGGGGTGTATGTGTGTGTGTGTGTGTGTGCGTGCGTATGTGAGTGTGTATGTGTGTGTACGTGTGTGTTGTAGGGGATGGGAGGCTTTTTTGTTGTTCTTTGTTTTGTTTTGTTTTTAGCACTTCGTGTGTACACCTCATTCATAGAGCAGTAACCGAAAATATTTCAAGATTAACGACATAGATCTAGTACAAACGTTTTGGGAGCAACTCTGATGGTGATTGATAAGCGTAGGTTTATTTGTAGAGTGCTATGAGAGATGGGTAAAAGAGGAAAGAGGGAGGGGGATATATAGTTGTGTTTGTATACGTATGTGTGGAACTGGGAGAATAAGGGTGCGACTTAGTTTCTAAATTCCTGGGGGGGGGGGGTTCTTTTTTTTTTTTTTTTTTTTTTTTTTTTTGATTTTTAAAAGTTTTGATTAGGCTTTCTTTCCTTCTGTACCACTTCAACTATCCGGTTACTCTTTGCTCGTCCGCATGTCCGCTTTGCTTTTTTGTACTTGAATAACGCCAAGTGGCCACCCCTCTTCTAATAGGCCAAATGTTTGAGACCCAGCGAGCTTCCACAGCAAGTCTGTACTTTCAACATCAAATCAGTGTTCTTCTTCTTTTTTCTCACCAGGTGGAGTTTACGTGGCAGATTGAGGGTGTCAGTGAAAAGTGGACCCGTGTTATTGAAGCCCCGGACGTACAAGCCAGGCTTCCCGTCTCTGAACTTGACATCAACTTGTTCAACAAGAGGGTAAGTCTAAAAAATGTTCATCTCTCTCCTGTAGGAGCCTTTTTTCCTTCAAATCAAATCAAATGGCCAGTTGAATAAGACGTAAAAGATCTATGCGTCTCCTGTGAGATAAAGAGAGATACAGAAGGTCATTTTAATCATCATTCATAAAACTCCTACCACCTTAATCATTTTGTAAAATAAGTTAATACCACCAGAATACTATTGGAATACTGATTTTAAACTGGATATCTAGGTTGTACAACATTATTTTTAACAATCAAATTGTTCATTTATGTCATTTGAGTGTGTGTGTGTGTGTGTGTGTGTGTGTTTGTGTGTGTGTGTGTGTGTGTGTGTCTGTGTGTGTGTTAGTGTGTGTGTATTTGTGTGTCTGTGAGTATTGTGTGTGTAAGTATGAATGTGTGTGTGTCTGCGCATGATGTGTGTGTGTGTGCGTGTGTGTGCGTGTGTGTGCATATGTGTGTGTGTGCGTATGTATGTGGTGAAACACCAAATCAATGTGCCAACGTCTGGACAATAATGAGTAATCTTATTTTTTTATTGTAACAACAGAGATAAGTGCTCTAAAAACACCAGCTCGTGGTGGGTACTCCTAACAATTATGAATGATATAGCTAACAAGCAATACATGATCAAACTGACAGTAGACTTATATATAAAGTTGGCGATTTGGTTTAACAGTTCTAGTTTCTTTTAAGAGCAAGATGGCTGGTTAAAAGAATTCAAATTAAGTTGATCGGAAACCATTTTGATAATACGATTAATGCCTGGCACATCAAAAGATACGACAGAGTAGTTCAAAGTCATTGACTGAATCTCTATACGATAAGGAATTTATTGCTTAGGCTTTCTTCTCGACATTTCTTACTATACTGCTTTGCTAAGAAACGATCGACCTGCTGGACATTTTTAACAAATAGGTTAGGATATATTGACTTTCCACTTTCTCCATCCTCAGTTAACACTTTCTCCCTAAATCAAAGTCTGTTATGTAATTAACGATTTATTTCCAGCAAAACGTGTATCCGCTGTCAATCCAGACGAAATGATTCGAACACTGGTCTTTTTTCCTCTCCAGATCGTTTGCAAGGCTCAACTAAGCTGGATGGTGCCTGGAGCTCCAGACTGTCCTCACTACAAAATCAGCCAAGTGTTGATCCCAACCCTGACGGTGAGACTGCTTTAGAAGTATCCAAAGGGAGGGGGGATACGATAAATTTACTTGCAGCCTCTAGCTTAAGAGGTACTTTTCTGTCGATAATGTTATAGATGCCAGGGCGCAAAGTGGTTAGTTTTTGGGGGGATTTTTAGACTGGTTATTTTTTTTCTGCCTGTGAAGGTTCGGTGGCCCTGTGTATGATACATTCTAAAAGACAGACAAATATACTCGAAAAGAAACAAAACATATCATATTCGCAACGCAGGACTTGAACTTACTCTATTGCCACGAAAGGAGAAGAGTTTAATTAGATCTACCACATCACAGACAGTATGTATAGATAAAACTGTAAACATGATGAATAAAATTCAACGTCTATAGGCACCGGTTTCAAAGCGAATTCCCGCTTAAATTAGTTTGACAACAGCCTTCTGCGTTTCAGTCTCTTCTTTAATGTTTTGTATTGTTTTAATTCTGTATACACAATTTCCCTTTCTCTCTCTCTCTCTCTCTCTCTCTCTCTCTCTCTCTCTCTCTCTCTCTCTCCCTCTCCCTCTCCCTCTCCCTCTCTCTTCTTTGTATATGAACACATTGTATATAAGAGAGAGGAAGCGAGAGAGTTAGATTGCTAGAGACAGTCGAACCTGCTCTAACGGCTACCCCTATAATACAATCACCTGTACAAATGGCCACTTCTCATTTCCTCCCTTTCGTAATTTCTCTATCACAATGAAGCTGTGTAGGACGGTCACCTGTCAAAGACAGTTTTGACTGCACATAGATAAATGGATATTCTAGTCTTCCAAATGTTTCCCTTCCGTGTCCTTCAGGTAACGACGACGTCCCAACTGGTGGTCATTGAGGGCCGGGAGCCCGAGGTGGTCCAGGTCCGGCCTACGTGTCCGCCGTCCGCTCTGTGCAAGCCCGAGGACAACGGCCGGTGTACTGTACAGATCACCACGGTCATCACCACGCAGAGAAGGGAGATCAGGTCATTGTTATTGCAATGTTTACTCTCACGTACATACAATTCGCTACCCTTAATTAAAAAGCTTTATCTGCTCAGTACCTAGTTTTGAGAAATTTGAAGTAAAAAATGGTGTGTTTTATAACGTGTCAAACTTTTTCAAATGCAACTTTTTGAATAGCTTAAACCAAAAGCCTTACGATTCTGATAGAGCAGATAGAAGATTTGGTTTCTGACATCATAGTCTTGATAACTCAAAACGACCAAAAAATTTCAGATAAAACTTTGTAATTCTGAAGTAACGAATTGTTGATCATTCAGGAAACAGAATCCGCCTCCTAGATGATCTTCTAACGTGTGCCTATGGGCTGTAAAAACACCTACATTCGAAAAAAGGAAACAGGCTGCATTGACCAAGTCCTCCGGGATTATTACGACCTGCGTGGCATATAACATCCCAGCAGACAGACCTACTTTTGCACCGACTGTTGCTGTTGATCGTCAAGGGAAGATGCAGTTTTCTATGGCAGGCTAACTCTGCCGGATTCGCATTTATAAAACAATGCTTGTTCCCAACAGCGAAGAGTTTAACATTTAAAGCACAGACGCCGGTCAGGTGATTTTAAATCATTGTAAATGTTTTGAAAGATCTCGACACTATTTAGGTCGTCTACAATGCACACTGTGCCGACGATGCCTGTCAGGACATCTCATGGTATTCGAACTAGCATCTTCTGTGTACGAGGCAAATAGAGTAACACCACAGTAAACATTAGAGATCGGGTGAATAATAGATTTTGAAGTTTCTGTATTAATCTATATCCATGTTCACCAGCGCTTGTGAATCTGGTAAATTTTTTGGCTGGTGGAGATCGTTCTTGTAGTGACAGGTGTTATTTAATGCCTTGTTTGGAAATACATGTTGGTGGGCGATACGAAAAAAAATTAGCCTCTTAAAGACGGTAAAAGGCGATGGCTATTAAAAGAAAATCTTTACAATCAGTGATCTAGACTCCAGCTGAGGCCCGCTAACTATGGGGGGAGGGGGGGGGCATCCATTTTGGCTGTCGCTCTGGAGCGCTCTGGGGAGGGGGTGTCTCTGTGGGGTAGGGTATATTTGTAGGGGGGGAGGGGTTGTGGGGTTGTTGTTTTTTTGTGGGGTTTTTGTAAGTTTTTTTTTCTTTGGTTTAGTAATCATTGATTAATTTGTCTTTAGAATGGAAAAAATCCAACCTGTCAGTGGTGCTTTATCTTCATAAGTTCAAATCTCATTTCCCCAATTCTAATTTTGTAATTGATGACACCTTGTTTTCTTTAAGCTGATCTCTGTCCTGTAACAGTTTGGTGGTTGCTTTGCCTATAGAGTTATCTTTACAATTGTGATGTAGTTTTCAAGAACACCCTGATATGTTTATAGGTATAGAGTTAATAAATAAATTATACTTGATTGATCCCTATGGGGAAATTCAAGTTACAATGGCAAACATACATACATGAATACATACACACAGATATACATACAAAGAATATCGAGTACACAATATTACGCCAATGCTGGTCGCCACAGTGCAGAGCCCTGTATTTTGAGCTTGGTTTATGGTATCCTGCTCAAGGATACACCCCGGTGATTACCCGTCTAAAACAAGTGTCACCTACATTATAATACATCATACAGAGAAACAGGTATATTTACAAAGAGAGAAAGGAAAGAGAGAGAGAGAGAGAGAGAGAGAGAGAGAGAGAGAGAGAGA